GGATTGGCTTGGGAGGCACCTGTAATAGAAGACAACAACTCATAGTGCCATTCTAAGCAGAATTAGAAGGGTGTAATTTAGATTAATGTACCTCTTCTTAGGATGGCACAGTTTCATAATTATTATTTTTTTTGCAGATGCTTCTTTCAGATAACAAAAAAGGCTACAAACGAAAATCCAGCACTTGGGAAATTGGCAATCCAATGCAGTTGAGCAAAGTGAGTATTACCAATGACCAAAACATTTTGTTTGTGCTAAGTGGCTGCACCACACAACTCAGAAAGCATGCCCAAGAAGACAATTTGACATGACAGTGAAGGTGATGGGAGTACATCTTTTGCTTTGTGAGCTGCTTCACCATCACCCTTACAGTTCTGCCCCACCAAGCACAGTTTGTGGGGATGGGCAAAATTTCAGCATCAAAGGCCTACAAAGTTCCCATTACAATAGAAGCATGAGTTTCTCTTATTTTAATTAATAAATGAATAGGAAAACAGGGTGTTAGTAGTCACTGTAAATTTAAAAGTTTTGCCCAAATTGGGAACAGTTTGGAAATCTAATCTCCCCAAATAGTCCCCCTTGAGCATTCTGTACTCTCAGGTGCTTGAGCAGGGTGGTTTCTCACTTTAATTTCCAGCTGCCACCAACATTCCAATCACCTGCAGCATATTCAGTCTTCTCTAGGTTTTTTTTTTTTTTAATGGGGGGTATTAATCTGTCTCGCCCTGACCTTGCCACAGTAATTCATGCAACAGTCACCTCCAGGCTGGATTATTGTAACTCGCTTTACATAGGGCTACCCTTGAAACTGACCTAGAAGCGGCAACCAGTGTTCCCTCTAAGCTGAGTTAGTGTGAGCTAGCTCACAGTTTTTTAGCTTCTGGCTCACACATTTATGTCTTAGCTCAGGGAGAATGGCTCCAGAGCAAACTAATTTAAGCAGCAGCCAAATTGCTTGCTCACAACTTTAATGCCAGTAGCTCACAAAGTAGATTTTTTGCTAAGAAGACTCTACAGCTTAGAGGGAGCATTGGCTGCAACTGGTACAAAATGCAGCAGGACGGGTCCTTATGGGGATCCCACGGAGGATGCACATACATCCAATGCTGTGCAAACTGCATCGGTTGCTGGTAGAGCACTAGATCCGATTCAAGGTTTTGGTGCTTACCTTTAAAGCCCAAAATGTTGAGGGACCTACATACCTTTGGGACTGCCTCTCCTGGTATGTCCCCCGAAGAGCATTAAGATCAGCAGACAAGAATCTTCTGGTGGTCCCTGGCCCCAAAGATATCTGGCTGGCCTCGACCAGGGCCAGGGCTTTTTCCACCCTGGCCCCATCCTGGAGGAACTCTCTGCCGAATGACATCCGAGCCCTGTCTGATCTATTAAAGTTTCACAGAGCATGCAAGGCAGAGATGTTCCACCAGGCCTTTGGTTGAGGCCAGCAACGGTTCCTTACATCTGCCTGGCATTCCCCCCCCCCCATGACTGAATGCTAGCACTGCCATCTTGTTTTAAAATATCTTTCAATGCTTAAATTTATTTATTTATTTATTACGTTAGATTTCTATCCCGCCCTTCCGCCAAAGCGGCTCAGGGTGGCTTACATAGTTTTAAAATCAACATAAATACATACCTAAAATACATCTCCATAAAATACAAGCATTTACAATTAAAACCATTTAAAGTGGCGGTGTCATATAATAAAGTGCAGATATAACATAACCAATGAAAGCATTCTTACTGAAATGCCCGGCGAAAAAGCTCCGTCTTCACAGCCCCGCAGAATTGCTGGAGGTCCCGCAGTGCTCTGATCTCACTGGGGAGCTCATTCCAGAGTGCCGGCGATGCAAGGGAGAATGCCCTGGTCCTAGTCACCACCAACCTGGCATCCCTAGGGCCAGGGTGGGCCAGGCGGTTTTATGTTCCAGATCGCAGTGCTCTCTGGGGGACATGCGGGGAAAGGCGGTCCCTCAGGTAGTCAGGTCCCTGACCATAAAGGGCTTTAAAGGTCAACACCAGCACCTTGAAGTGAATCCGGAATGCTATTGGAAGCCAGTGCAATGACTTTAGCACAGACTGGATGTGCTCCTACATGGGGAGGTCCATCATCAGCCTGGCTGCTGAGTTCTGCACCAGCTGCAGCTTCCAGAGTTGCCCCAAGGGCAGCCCCATGTAGAGAGCATTACAGTAGTCCAACCGCAAGGTGACCATAGCGTGGATCACTGAAGCCAGATCGTTGCGTTTGAGGAAGGGGACCAACTGCCTGATCAGCCGAAGATGGTAAAAGGCCGTCTTGGCAGTGGCTGCCACCTGGGCCTCCATTGTAAGGGAAGCATCCAGGACCACTCCCAAACTTCTGACCCTCGGCGCTGGCACCAATGGTGCCCCACCAAAGGCCGGTAGTGTTTTGAATGTTTTTTAATACTGAATTTTTAATGGTTTTAATTGATTTGATAATGTACTGAATTAATTGTTGTAAACTGCCCTGAGCCCCGCACAAGCAGGGAAGGGCAGTTAATAAATCTAATTTAATAATTTAAAAAATTGTATTGTTGTGCATATTTGGGGAGACCATTAATATGTGGACTAGTACTTTGTCTGGGGGGGTCTGGTTTTGCTGCTTCCATCATCTGCACGAAGGGTCAGCCACTTTACTATTAGATATGTGACTGTTTTGTATAGCGTACTGTCTGGACTTGTTTATTCATAAAGATCAGTTAGATGCTGACTCTTTAAAACAGGGCAGGAGCAAATAGTCTCTTGGATCAAAGATGGTCTTCATCCAATTGCTCTCCACCTGCTTTATTTCTGGAATCAATTTTTTGCCCACCCCCATTATGCACAAAAAAGTGCAGTCCATGCCACAGGTCAACAAAAAAAGCAACTTTCTTCAGCTTTTTAGTACAAGTGCCCGACTGAGGCTACCAGTGTCCACGCATGGCAGGTGTGTTTGCCTGACCAAGAGATGAGGGAAATACAATGTCTTGTGACTGGGAGCGGCCTTCACACAGAATACACGTGGAGTACTCAATGAAATTGCTGAGCAGTCAGGTTAGAACAGATAAAAGGAAGTACTTCTTCACCCAAAGAGTGATTAATACATGGAGTTCACTGCCACAGGAGGTGGTGGCAGCTACAAGCATGGATGGCTTCAAGAGGGAATTAGATAAACACAAGAACCGGGACCCGCGATACCCGCGGGGGGGGGGGATAATTCCTAAAGGCTCCTGGTCTGCAGAAACTGGTCTGCAGAAACAGCTCTGCAGGTACGCCTTCTCCCCCCCCCTGCGGGCATTGGCGGTGAGGCCTGAGTGCCTCCCAGCCGCCAGGCCCACAAATTCCCCCCCTGCGGGCACCAACAGCAAGGCCTGAATGCCTCCCAGCTGCTGGGCACGCAGATTCCCCCCG